AAAAAAAAAAAATTAAAAGATAAAAAAAGCTCAATATTATTACTATTATGATTAATGTTGCCTGCCTAGCCCTCAAGGGCATTGGACTTGGTAATCCAGGGCCTGAACAAGTCCATTGTCAGGGTCTCAGAACATCAACATCCACTTATTGAGCACTTGCTGTATACTCTGACTGTGCTAAGGGCCAATGGGTCTACCCTGTCACCTCCCTGCTCCCACCAACCCCCGTTTCCCTCCTCACCCACAGCAGTCCAGCCATCTATTCGCCAAGCATGGTCCTGCCTCAGGGCCTTTGCATCTGCTATTCCTCCTGCCTGGATTGGTCTTTCCCCAGACATCACATGGAATGATCCCTCACTTTCTTCAGCTCACCCCTTGAAAGCTCCATGAGGATAAGGATTTGGGTGTTTTGTTTATTGTTATGTTGCTACACCCAGCACAGGGCTGTGCACACCGCAGGCACTCAAGAAACAATACATGAACGGACCCACCCGGCAAAGTGGATTCTTAGTCTTACAGCCAGGAGGCACTGGGCAGGCTTGGTGCCCACACCTGGCTGGCTGTGTCCTCCCTGAGGTTACTTCCCATGTTGAGACCCTGCATCTCCCACCTTGTGGACACGGGTGATGATCTCCAGGCCCACAGAGCCCACCAAGGCAGTGATGTCGTCCAGGAAGCGCCCAGGGAAGCGCAGCTTGCGGGGCGTGTCCAGTCGCTGGCCAAGAAGCAGGTGCAGCGCCATACTCTTCACCTGGAGGTGAGATGAGAGGGCTGTGGGTGGGGCTTGAAGGGCTGTGGGTGGAGGAGGCTTGACAGAAGGGGCGTGGCTTTAGTAGCAAGGGAGGTGGTCTGAAGATAGGTTTGAGCCCCATAGCTGCAGGCGGAACTTGAGGCCTGAGGGATGTGGGTGGCTGGGGCTTGACAAAGCCATGGGCCAATCCTGTGAGCATCCCAGGAGTATAGGACGTCGGAGGGCTGAGAGAGTTTGGGAGGGGCTTATGCAGATCTCACCAGGGCAAAGTCCAGAGGTGGGACAAAGGGTGGGGTTAGAGGCACTGGACTTGAAGGGAGCTTTATTGCAGGCCCATAGGGGATATGGCCAGTAGGCCCTCAGAAGGGGGCATTCAATGCACCTATTGAAGACTTTTAGGGATGTCTCTACCTTGATCAGAAAGCTTTCCCTTGGGAAGGGCGTGGTGGCTCATGCCTATAACCCCAGCACTTTGGGAGGCCTAGTTGGGTGGATCACCTGAGGTCAGGAGTTTGAGAGCAGCCTGGCCAACATGGTGAAATCCAGTCTCCACTAAAAATACAAAACTTTTTTCTAGAGGGATAGGATAAAAGAAAAAAAAAAAAAAAAGCAAGTAAGCAATAACAAAATACAAAAATTAGCCTGGCAAGGTGACATGTGCCTGTAATCCCAGTTACTAGGGGCGCTGAGGCAGGAGAACTGCTTGAACCTGGGAGGTGGAGGCTGCAGTGGGCTGAGACCGTGCCACTGCACTTCAGACCGGGCAACAGAGCAAGACTCCATCTCAAAAAAAAAAAGAAAGCTTTCATTTTTGTTGTTGAGATGGAGTGTCACTCTGTTGCCCAGGCTGGAATGCAGTGGCATGATCTTGACTCACTGCAACCTCTGCCTCCTGGGTTTAAGTGATTCTCCTGCCTCAGTCTCCCACGTAGCTGAGATTACAGACACCATGGTAGCATGCCCGGCTAACTTTCGTATTTTTAGCAGAGATGATTGAGTTTCACCGTGTTGGCCAGGATGGTCTTGAACTCCTGATCTCAGGTGATCCACCTACCTCAGCCTCCCAAAGTGCTGGGATTAAAGGCATGAGCCACCGCGCCCCGCACAGCTTTCCCTTTCTATCCAGGAATATCTCTCGCAGGATGGAGGTCTCCTGTCTGGTTGAGGGTCTCTTAATGGTTTCTGTCCCTAAAGAGTCTCATAGGGAAGGGGGGCTGTCTCTCGCTGAAGGGGGTTTCAGCTACAGTCTCTCCAGGGAGACACCACCTTAAGTACCTCTCATCTCTCTAGGAGTGGGAAGGGGTCTCTTGGGGCAATTTTTCAAATATCTCAGCTGCAATCTCAGGGGGCTTCTCTCTTAAAAAAGGAAGGGGTGCCGGGGGCATTGGCACGTGCCTGTAGTCCCAGCTACTCGGGAGGCTGAGGCTGGAGGATCGCTTGAGCCCAGGAGTTCTGGGCTGTAGTGCGCTATGCCGACCGCGCGTTCGCACTAAGTTCAGCATCAATATGGTGACCTCCCGGGAGCAGGAGACCACCAGGTTGCCTAAGGAGGGGTGAAACAGCCCAGGTCAGAAACGGAGCAGGTTAAAACTCCTGTGCTCATCAGTGCTGATCAGCAGTGGGATTGCACCTATGAAAAGCCACTGCATTCCAGCCTGGGCAACATAGCGACACCCCGTCTCAAAAAAAAAAAAAAAAGGAAGGGGCTCTTCTTGGGGATATCGTGCCACCAGGCAGGGAGCAGGGGGTCTCACCATGAGCTGGAAGAAGAACCAGGCATGCTGGAGGATGGCCTCGCGCACCGCACTGCTGCTCACCACCCACTGCAGAGCCAGCTCCTCATGAAGCAGCTAGGGACAGAGGCAGGGGTCACAGAGCGCCAGGCACCACCCCCTCCCGACCCCCTCTGGACGGCATGCCAGGGGAGGATGCAGCTGCTGGGCTTGGGTTAGTACAGCCGGAATGACGCAGGAGGAGAGGGGCCAGAGGAGCGGACGTGCCTGGGCTCGCTGGAACCCGCTGGACCCCACTGGGCTCTGGATGGGGGAGGAACACTGGACCCCTTTGCTGGGGGCTGGGACACAAATGGGGTCATCCATCCCTCCCCCCACTACCTTCTGCACAGTGGGTCTCGGCTGGGTGGCTGGTGGGGCCGAGGAGGAGCCCTCGAGGTAGGAGGAGGCTCGGCTAGAGATGCAGTCGATGGCCTACGATGGGGTGTGATGGCGAGGAGTGGGTTAGTGTGGATGCGCAGGTGGCTGGAGGAGAGATGTGTCCACACAGACGCAGATGGGGATTGGGGAAAGGAGGTGGGTCAGTGTGAAAAGAGAGAAAGAAATGCTTCCACAAGGATGGGATGGGGCCATGGACGGGCAGTGGGGGCAGGCAGGAATGAGATGGGCAGGCGTGTGTGGGTATGGGAGGCTGGTTGGCATGGCCAGGGTGCTGTGGGAGTAGACAAGGCAGTGGGGGCAGGGACAAACAAAAGAGGAGCTAGAGACAGCTGAGGAGTCAAGATCAAGGCATGTGGGCATGGGAGAGGAATGTGAGGCTGGGGGGGTGGCTCAATACCTGTCATCCCAGCACTTCGGGAAGCTGAGGCAGGAGGACTGCTTGAACCCAGGAGTTTAAGACCAGCCTGGGCAACATAGTGAGACACTGACTCTACTAAATATATATATATGTATATATAAATAAAAATAGGCTGGGCGCCGTGGCTCATGCCTGTAATCCCAGCACTTTGGGAGGCTGAGGCGGGTGGATCACCTGAGGTCGGGTGTTTGGGACCAGCCTGACCAGTATGGAGAAACCCCATCTCTACTAAAAATACAAAAAATTAGCCGGGTGTGGTGGCACATGCCTGTAATCCCAGCTATTCAGGAGGCTGAGGCAGGAGAATCGCTTGTGCCTGGGGCGGAGGTTGTGGTGAGCCGAGATTGTGCATTGCACTCCAGCAACAAGAGGGAAACTCCAGCTCAAAAAAAAAAAACCATGCTGGTGGTGTGTGCCTGTAGTCCCAGCTACTCAAGAGGCCAAGGCAGGAGGATGGTTTGACCCTGGGCCTGGGAGGTTGCAGCGAGCTATGATTGTATCACTGCACTCTAGCTTGGGTGACAGAGCAAGACTCCATCTCACAAAAAAAGAATGTGATGGAGGAGGTGAGAATAACAGTGAAAACACAGTAAGGTGGTGAGTGACAAAGCAGTGTGACCAAAACAGGCAGGAGGAGTGTGGATGGAGCAGGACTGAGAACACATGAAGGCTGGGAATGGGTGCATGGCAGGTGGGGTGAAGGCAGAGGAGATGAAATCAGTGTTGACAGCAAGAATGTGTGTGGCCAGAGGAGGTGAGGGTGAGTGTGGACGAGGGGCAGAGTGTGACCGAGTTAGTGAGCATAGCAGACAGAGAGGAGGGCGCAGAGGTGGAGGAGGGTGTGTGGAGACAGAGGGTTAAACACAAGATGGGGAAGGAAGAGAAAGATGATGCAGGAAGATGAGAACGGAGGAGGTGAGATGTGGATGAGGTGCCAGGAAAAGCAGAGAGAGCCCAAGGTTCTAAGCCTGGCCCTGGCCGAGCCTGGCCGAGCCTGGCTTGAGCCTCAGGGTCCCCATCTGTGAAATGGGTTTGGGCAGAGTTGTTCAAGCTCCACTCTTGCTTCATCCTTTGCTGGCTGGGAGGTGAGGCTGCTCGCAGGAAGAAGAGGTCTGATGACGGAGCTGACCCAGCCCTGGGACCTACTCTGACACTTGAGGGCTCTCTCCAGCTACCCCAGCCCCAGCCATGCCCTGACTGCTCAGTGTGCACCAGGAGGGCCTTCCATTGAAAAGGCCCAGCCTCCATGTCACCCAGATTTCCAGATTTCCCAGCAATCCAAGGAAATGACTGCTCTAAGGCCCCCCTGCTTGCTCTGCTAATGGTCCCCTGGGGCTGTCATAGGGTACAGTTTGCCTTGGTGATGGGCACAGAGCTGGAATAGGTCCTAGGGCCAAGTGTGTAAGGAAGCAAGCCCTGTGGCCTCCTCTCCCTGCCTACGGCCCTCTGACCTTGGTCCCAATATTTGTATGTGCCTTGCCCTCTGCCTGGAATACCCACATCCACCCACCCTTCCCTAGCTGACTCTATCTCGCCCTTCAGGTCCCAGCAAAAAATGTCTCCCCCGTGGAGAGGCCCCCAAGACCACCCAGAGGGAAGCTGGGTGCTATTGGCTTCCTTTCCATGCTGTGTGATTATACACTTATCCATTTGTTTGATCCATGTCTCTTTCTCCAGCTAGCTAGAAGCTCAGGGTCAAGGCCAGACCAAGAATCTATCATCCTAACAAAATCCCGCTGGCAGTGTCCTCAGCCCTAATGCAAGCCCAGGCTCAGGGCTGCTGGGGGAACACTTCAGTGAGCCCAAACTGCATCTGAAAATTTGGAGTGTTATTTTCATTTTACAAATGAGGAAACTGAGGCTCAGGAAGATGCATCCAATTGCTCAATGCATACGGTGAGCTCATAGCAGAGCTAGGACTTGAACCCAGGTCTGTTTGAAGGCAAAGCCCACCCCCCACCACACCAGGTACCTGGAAAAAGGCAGGGTAAGGGGAGCTCTTTGTCTAAAACGGGATAGGGAAGCCAAGAGGCTCAATTCCAGTCCTTTGAGAGTCCCATGAACAGGGTGGATTAAAGGCAGGTGAACAGGCCATGCAGGGCAGTGAGGTGATGGGTGGCTGGATTTGCAGTTCATTTGCATGCTATTTGCATATCACCCCTGTGCCTTCTGTCTCTACCTGAGACTGTGGCCTATGTGGCAGCAAAAGGCCAGTTAAGATGACCCAGTCAGTCTAAACACAGACTTCCTTGCCCCAAACAAAGGCAGGAGATGGGCCTGCCACCTCCTTCAGGCAGCCCCCCCGCCGAGGTTAGTCCGATGCAGCCAAAAAGGTGGGAGGAGCTCATGCTGAGGTGGTGTCACATGAGTGCAGGAACAGGTAGGAAGGGCACCTGTCTGGGGTCGGCCCCACAATAAGGGGGTGCCCGTCGCAGCACAGCCTTACTGCCTCCCGGAGCATAAGCAGAATTCACCCAGGAGTGTGAGCGATCGATGCCCTGGAGATACATGGAGAAGTGGTAGCATCCCCAGTGGAGGGCAGGGAAAGCAGCATGAAACACCAAGAATGAACACAGCTCTGGACCATACATGTGCCCACGTGTGCACCCACATAAAATCCCGAAAAATGTGCACATGTATGCAGGTGCATCAGGTGCATGCCTATACATACCTGTGTATGTGTGTGCATGTGTGCATGTATACACGCCCCTGTATGTCTGTGCATGGGATGCATGTGTATACACCTGTATATGTATATGCATGAGGCGAATGTGTATATGGACCCATGTACATACAAGCATAGAGTGAATGTGTACAAGCACCTGTGCAGGCATATGTGGTGGGGTGAATGTGTATACACACCTGTGCAGGCATATGCGTGGGGTGAATGTGTATACGCACCTGTGCAGGCATATGCGTGGGGTGAA